GAGCAATGGCTAGTAGCAAATGCTTATTAGTTTGACAGAATTGGCATGTTTATTTGGGGCTCTGAGATTAAAAATCTTCACAGCCTTTCGATACCTACGAAATTTGACCCACTCCGATAGCAATCCGGTATAGTGTAAATGGAGCCTAATAAAAACGAAACCTCACTCGCACATAACAATTTATATCCCACACGTATCCGATGTTACGCTTAAAAATATAAAAACAGTTTAATGTGTACCTGTCGTCCTGAATTTCCTCACGTTGACTTGCTTGGCTGATTTAATAGTGAAATACTCCTCTGGTCTTTGGCGTTTTGAGGGGGCGTGATCACTGGCGTGATCACTGGCGTGATCACTGGCGTGATCACTGGCGTGCCTTCGCTTGCTCCCTTCACCTATTTGGTTTTCTGGCGGTTCAGGCATCTGTTCGAGTTCGCATAAACCATCATCATTGGCCCAGTCTTCGTTGAACAGGCGACGTTGATCCTCGGTCCAGTTTGCCATCATATCAGGGTCAACTCCAACCGGATTCTCCCGTTCAATATCTTCGGCCATCGCGTTCGTCCAAAATATTATACGTTGTTGAAGAACAGCTTCCTTCTGCTCATCAGTGAGCATAAACGACTCTTGGAGAAAGTCGAGTTCACTTTCAGCTTCACAAGCTTTGATAAGATCCAACATATTAATCTAGAAATATCATAAACATATTAATCTAAAACTATTGTAAACATATATTCAAAAACTAAATGCAGTCTTTGATCTGCAATTATCGTAAACATATATTCAAAACGCTACGTTTCCTTACCGAATGAGCCATTTTAAAAAACAATCCAACGCAATCCAAAAGTAGAGAACACTTCAGAACCAGAGAAAACCAGAGACCACTCGCCAAAATGCAACAGTGAGAAATGAAACGTGTGTTTGATACACGATATTTATAATCTCTGATAATTTTGTTTGGTCGCGCTACTGTGTTGTGCCGCTAATTGGTCTCGTTACTGTAATGCTAATTGATCGCGTTTGGCCGATACCGGCCCGCGTTAATTGGTCGCGCTACCTGTCACAGTTGGCCCAGGCCTGCCCGCGTTAATTGGTCGCGCTACCTGTCACAGTTGGCCCAGGCCTGCCCGCGTTAATTGGTCGCGCTACCTGTCACAGTTGGCCGAAGGTTAGGGTTAGGGCCAGCAAAGTTACGTCACATATTTTGCATACTAATTACTTTCGGAGCAGCGTGACGTCATTGGCGGTATCCCTTTGGTCTCCATAGTGGGGTCTATTACTACTTCCATTGCATTTTCAGGGAGAAATTCAACAACTTCAGCCGAAAAATTTAACTTCTGCTTTAGACAATCCGGAAATTGTTGACATGAAACTAGGCAAAGAATTGGCTGCACATCGTTTGGCAGGTCCATTTTCGTCCCCGCCATTTGATTCCTTTCGCGTTTCTCCTCTTGGGATGGTACCTAAGAAAACACCAGGGGATTTTCGTTTAATCCATCACTTATCATTTCCCAAGGGCTCATCAGTTAACGATGGAATATCCCTCGAGCATACAAGCGTACATTATGCAACTGTGTCTGACGCTATACGTTTGATAAAAGCCGCAGGACATGGCTGTTTCTTGGCAAAAACTGATATAAAAAACGCCTTTCGAATTATGACTATAATCTCTTAGGAATCATATGGCGCGGGATGTATTATTACGACAAGTGCTTGCCAATGGGATGTGCAAGTTCATGCAAAACTTCGAATCATTTAGCACTGCGGTGGAATGGATTGCTCGACATAAGTGCAATATCGACAAACTCCTTCATTTACTCGACGATTTTCTTTTTATTTCTCCTACGCACAGCCGGTGCCAGGATACATTGGGTAGATTTTTAAAATTATGCGCTCAACTCGGAATTCCAATTGCACCTGAAAAAACTTTCGGTCCCGCAACGACTCTCAAATTTGCGGGTATTGAGTTAGATTCTATAAAATGTGAAGCTCGTTTACCGAGCGATAAAATCGAAAAGTGTGTGCAAACTATTGCGGACTTTCTACATCGAAAGAAGGTTACCCTCAAAGATCTCCAAACTTTGATAGGATTATTGAATTTTGCTTTTCCGTGGTTACGGCAGGTCGCGCATTTTCGCGACGGCTTATTGACTTAACACATGGGGTCAAAAATCCCGGTCACTATATTCGTCTGAGCCGTGAGACCAAGGAAGATTTGCGCCTTTGGCAAACCTTCTTATCTTCTTTCAATGGTGTGTCCTTTTTTCTGGACGAAACATGGCGGAATTCGAACAAACTGAATTTGTTTACTGATGCGTCAGGCTCCATCGGTTTCGGCGCTATTTTTGGCACAGAATGGTGCTATGGCCGTTGGCCTTCTGAGTGCATGGCAGCATCGCAACATTGCTATTTTGGAATTCTATC